ATTCTCTAATTTATTTAGTTATGTACCTTTTAATTTTTAGGAAGGAAACACTGTTACACGCAACGAGTGTGAGGTTTGTGAATGTGTGGAAGATGACTCTCTTAACAAACTTGTTGCTCAGTGCACAAAGCAATGTGATTTGACAGAGGAAGACTGTTCCCAGGTTTGTTTTAGCTGATTTCTTCTACGTTTTCATAACAGTGGCGTATTTAGGGTTGCGATGGAGGGGAGGGGGCGCACGACCCTCCAAAAATTACTCACGACCCCCAGACCCCCAAAAAAGGCACGGTCAAGTAGTTAAAAATTACTTAAAATCACCATATTTTGCGAGTTAGCGCCCTTCAACTGATTATCGAGCCCCCGACTTTACCTTCGCGACCCCCCATCACCATCCCCACTTCAAGACTTCTAGATACCCCACTGTTTTATAAATGGAAATGCACTTATAATCACAATGGTTTCAAATTCAGACATCTGAATCTGCGTTCATCACTAGGTTGAAGAACAAGTAGACATAAGAGTTGCTAATTTACAACATCTACTCTTTTTAATACGATTTTTTTCTATTTCAAAATAGTAAAATAAAATTTTATACTACATTAATATGTAATAGTACTATTACAATTGGTGTAAATTAAGGTATATAAATGCAAACTAAAAGCTACTCATTATTGTATTAACAAATTATTGTATTAACAAACAGAAAACAATTTAGGAGTAGAATAAGTGTTTTCAACCAGAAGACACAACAGTCCTATTAAACTGGACAGTAAAACGGCCATCTACTACAATAGAGTGATTTGAACCAGTCAACAGCTAATACTTCCAATAGTCGTTTACACAATGTCTGACTTACGGTTGGAATTAAAAAGTAAACATTATAAAATTACCTTTCAATATCTGCCTGAGGCACTAACCCCTGTGAAACAAGGTTTCCGTATGATTATTTTGTTTAAGAAATGATGATCTTTTTTAATCATAATTTAATTCATTTGGCTTATAGGATGGGCTGGTGTTATACAAGCCAATAGGAGAATGTTGTGAATGTGCTGAACAACGAGCAACTGAGCCACCGACAAATGGTAGAACTAATCATTGATTTTCTCGGTTTTGACTTAAATATTGTTTGTTATTATAAATGGTTTTTTTTATAGATTACACACATGGACTTTAGATGTAAGCAACTTAACTAACCACAGCCAAAACCACAGTTCCAATATAAAATTACTTTTTTGATATTTCACTTAAGTATTTCAAGACTGCTTGAATTTGGTACATTGTTGAATCGTTTTAGTCTGTAGTGGTGAGTGTGTCGTCGAGCCGTCCTGCAATGAGATGAGTTCTTCAGATGCACCGTTTGATGTTGTTGATTGCGGCTCATGTGACTGTCCTTCAGGAACCGTCTTGGATGACCAATGGAATACTGGAATGTGTCTGCGAAAACCTATCTGTGACAATATGTGTGAACATATGGGTGTTGTATATAAGGTAATAAATAACGATACTATCTGTTGCTTTCTAATCGGAAAGAAATAAAGGGATTTATAACCACAGTACCAAATATATGCACAGTATGGTAATTATTATACATTTCGTAAGTCAAATCAGACTCAGTAGGGTACTGTGGGTGTATTTTGCCAAGAAGTTAAACAATGAAATTTGATAATTGATCATTATGCAGTTACATGGGTATACAGTAACAGAATTTGAAAAAATGAAAAATACAGTCCTTAAAAATGAAACAATTATTTTAGTTTACCATCTATAATTTTTTATGAGGTAATACATTATAATAATCATTTACATAATCATATAAATCCTCATTAACCAGTAAAATAAAAATGGTGAGGAAGTCTTGATTTTTATTTACAGTCACATTTTCAAGGCACAGTTTATTATTGACAAAAATACAGACGTAATCTATATGCGAACACATTTTCTGATAGTGATTTTTGTGATTTACACTTTTTTAGGCTGGAGAATCAGTGAATGTTGCTTGTCAAGTGTGTACTTGTGCAGATCCACAAGAAATTGGCTCATATTCATGGGATTGTCAAGTTTCCACAGAATCAGAGTGTACTACTACACCAGAAGAACGTAAACTACATTCATATTATTTTACATTTAAATATAATATGATTAAGTTTTGTCTATTATGAAGTAGTGGTAATCAACCATGGTCATTATGATATCAGTAATACAGTAGGACACTTTCTTTGTGACACTTCTATTCAGGGGACACCCTATTAAGGATTGATTATTAAGAATATAAATATATTTTATAGTATATCTGTATTACTGTAGCACTGTTCATATCGACAATAAACGAAGCAGAGTTACAGCGAGCTTTCGTCGGTGTTACCAATATCATTGAAACTATTCAAGTATATCCGTATTGTTACTCGGTGTGACTAAGGCAAATGTTGCTGTTTGTGGGGGTTGTGTCATTGACTACTAACTTTGCAAAAGATTACTTTTACTTGCAGTTTTAATATTTTGTGTTTGTGAGTAATTTTTTGGCCATTCAACCAATATTATTATTAATATTATTATTATTATTATTATTATTATTATTATTATTATTATTATTATTATTATTATTATTATTATTATTATTATTATTATTATTATTATTATTATTTTATTTTCGTTGTAACATGATCATCGTTATCACTTTCATCAACTAGTGACTGAAATACGGATCCAAATTTGTACTACATTTAATTTCAGAATATATTTCTGCACACATACATATTAATTTTGCTGTTTAATCTATTTTTGTATTACACACCTTTAGTCTGTGATCCTATATGTCATCATACTTTTACATGTGATGAGCAAGCTGATGTGACGATTGGAAGTGGATGGAAGCCGTCTTATGTTCCTCCAGCTGATTTTTTTAAATGTATATATACAACATGCAGTTGTGCACCAGGTTATGAAAAGGATGAAGTAAATAACCTAGATTTCTTGCAACTATTCCCACTGTACACCTTCTCAGCAAGTTCTTACTGTGTTGGAATTGAGGAATTAACTTGTGATAATGACAAGTGTTTGTTAGATAGCAGCACAGTCTTACAGGTAATTGGTTGATTATTTTTTTCCAATTACAGTATAACCATATCTAATGAGAGTATTTTATCCAACTAATCTTATTTATTTCCGACTCTTAATGCCAAGGGCGCAGATCCGTTTTGAAAGGTGTGGGGGGAGGGGGCAGTCGTGAGTCGACACCCACCTGAGACTCGCCATGGTTGGGGCTGAGGTGCAAACATTTGAGAAAATAATATCTGTAGGCGGTCTGACATTCTTATAATTATAGTAAAATTTATCTTCATCACATCACCACGAAAGTCAAAATGAAGTGCCCACCAATGTCTCATAATCTTGTAACAGCAATTTTCGGCAATCATAGGGATCTAATTTGTCTCTATTATGACCATAGAAAATAAAACATAAAAACATAGCAATTTTATCTTTGCACGCCTTTTCTCATACTTAATATATATATTAATTTATTTTTAATATTTAAAAAAAAACAATAATGAAGGCAAGCGCACTCGAGTCGTGTATTATAGGTAATTTAGATGTTTTTGCGCAGAAATACCAATATCTTGCTGTAAGATAAGATGTACTCTGGCTGTACAACGCTCTTACGTTAAAACCTGGGTCATTTATGCAGTTCATTTCAACAATTTTTAGGCATTTTTTTGACATTTGAAATTAAATTATGGTCAAAAAGTGGGAGGACCAACCCCCCCCCCCCTTTTAAAAATGTGGAGGATATTTCCCCACCTTCTTAAATGATCTGCGCCTTTGCCTAATGCAGTGTAATATTTTACCAAGTCTATAAGACTTTGGAGTGGAATTGTTTTTGGTTGTAAAGTTTCCTTTGGGCCACACAGTCGTGTTTTAAGTATTAGTGATTTTCCATATATGTATATGATTATGTCATATTAAACTCAAATGTTGACACAATTTTGACATTATATAGCAATAATATGAGAACAAATCAAGTATTTTGTCACAATAAAAGAGATAGTGTTAACAAAGGTATTGCTTCGATTGAAATGAGACATTGGGTTGAGAAATCAAAAAAAAAAATCCCAAGACATTGAATTACTCATTGAACTGATTTTTTGGATAAAAGAACTGTTATATGAGTATTTAAGATTTACATATTTTACAGTTCCTAGTTTTCCACCTTCCTTTAAACTAAATGCAAATCTGTTTTTCAGGTTGGAGAGGAGTACGAACGTAGTGAATGCGAAATCTGTGAATGTGTCTACAGTGACAGCAAACAGAAGTATGTAGCTGAATGCAGTTATAAATGCTCGTTGACGAAATCTGATTGTGAATCTGTAAGTTTTTTTCATAATAATTTCTGATTAGTTATTGATGTACATCAGCTTCTTACACTTCACATGCGTCGATTAATAAAAAAAAAAAAAAAAAAAAAATTAACAATGTTTACACTATAGACTGCTTTAATATAAATTATTTTGTGAAGGTCGGAAAAGTTTTGTATCAACCTACATACGGGTGTTGTATATATACATACCCATAAAACAACAAACGGCCACATAATGCAAAACTATTTAAAATTAAAACGGAACAGTAGAGAAAATCCGATCAGAATATATATATATATATATATATATATATATATTAATAAACATCAGTGGTGGTGCTGCATAGGCAAATATATATATTCAATGAAACAACAGACGAGATGGTTAATTTGCCTTAATTTATTTGAAATAGATGATCACAAACATTTTCCACCATAAGTCTTTCTCAAGTGATACATAATACAGGGTGACTAGAACATTATAATTAAGGTTTATGATAAACTGACCAATAGGTCACCTCAATAGGTCAATAGGTAACTGACCACCTCGTCTAATGTTTCATTATATATATATGTATATATAAATGTATTTAAATGTATATAATTATAGCATTTACATTACATTTTTCAAAATTATTTGCATTCACAGCTTCTCTCTGTAAGCACAATGGTGACATATATTTGGTATGTAGAACTCATTTAATAATTGAACTGAGTATCTAATTCAGTTCACAACCTTTTAGTTGTTTTATATATGTATTGTTCATAAAATAATGTATTGTATGTATTATGCTCTCTTTAATTTAATTTTACAAGGAAATATTATTAACGTAATTTTCATAATCTTAATCATCTGAATGTTCTAAATGTTTCCAAATAAAATAATTATTGTACTGAAAGTGTTTATAAGAAAATTAATTGTAAATAACCTGAGTATCTGATATTAATTTTAGCCCGGTGAGACATATACACAGTCTTGTCAGGAATGTACCTGTGAGGAAGATGGATCAGGAGTGTATGACTGGAGTTGTGAAACACAACCTGGCTGTTCTTCTGGACCTTGTGTAGTAAGCTATTCAATCTAATAACTTATCAGCGTTAGTTTATCATCAATAAACTAGAGCTAGATTGAGATTTTTGTTTGCATATGCATTTTAATGCGCTGTTGATTGTAATGTCTATGTAATCCCAATAGCCAAAAGATTGTGAATACCATTAATTATCTAATACCCGATTCACATGACAGAAGTGTACGAAATATTGCAAATTGTACCAATTATACAACAAACATTTCCAATTATTACTGTAAGCACCAACAAATTCAAAGCCTTGACTCTGTAATATCATGTTGGTGCTGACAGGGAAAATGTTGTTCCTAGTTCAGAGATTCATTTTATTTTTCCACTTATGTTTTAGATTTGTATTTTTATGTTTGCGGTCTGAGTATAATTCATGTCGCCCTTATTTTTTATATGACCTATTACACTTTTATAGAAATTTGTGGATTATCATCGGTATTTTACAGACCATTCTGGCAGATTATCTTTTAATTAAATTTATATATTATTTTGTTAACAGCCTGGTTCAACAATGGAGGTTGCAGGGAATTGTAAGATTTGCGAATGTAATGCCGAGACTGGCGAATATGATATGAACTGCCAAGATACTTGTACACGTACTTGTCGGGAGGTAAATTTTTCCTAATGTACCTCAAGTTTAAATTTAATGTATTTTCCATATAATTTATCATATATTGAAATAACAATGTATTTTTACAATAACAAAATTGAACAAAAAAAATCAATATCAATAACTCATTTGTACTATTATAATAAAATGATTGGTGTTGTTTTTAAAATAAAATCACTTAAGAGCATTGGAAACAAAATTATTGAATACACGATAAATGAATGCATATTAGAATTAAAATTCCTATTCATAACCTAACGTAGTGTAACATCAATTAACAGAAACAGAATTGATATATTGCAATGAAAATTAAATTGTTTAGCTTACTCATTTTGGGGGATATATATATAATATATGATTGATCAGTAATTAGGTGAAAAATACAAATTTTCTATGCTGAGGAATAGCAGAATATGTAATCGGCTATATATAACAAGTGAAACCCGGGTGTATATTCTAGTTTCATTCTAGAATCACTTTGTATGTTGTGGTCAGTGACAGACGGGGGTTTATAGCAACGGAACCACCGTCGGGGAATACAGTAGACAGAAGATTGTATTCCAATGCATACATGTGTTCACCTTTTTTAGATTATAACTCATTAAAGGTTTTCTTTTCGTCACAAAATCTCTAACTCCGCTATTGGTATAGGTGGCTGGTTGAGGACAACTTTAGAATTTTTTATTCTATTATTTCTATATTCAATTTATTCAGAATATAATCGGAACGGAGAAGTAAAATAGTACAATACTTTAAAACAACAAAACAATTATACAACAATACTAGAACTTTTACATTTTTAGAAGTTGTTTTAAGTTAATTCAATTTTAAAACTTTGAAATATAAATATATTAAATAATTATCATAAATAAGTACACAAATATAGTTTAGATAAAATAAGTCAACGACATGTACTAATATTTAATTATGTACATTTTTTACAGAACTTTGAACTTGTTACTGGACCAAACATCTGTTGTTATTGCAGTAAGTTCTTATCTATTTCTTTATCAAAAGAATTTTAAATTGATTTAAATTTCCTAGATAAAATATTCAGTGTTCATTATTATTATTAACCATAAATACTTCCTAATAATATAGTATTTTCTATGAACTGCACATGCATGAAATAGTACATCGGCTGTATTTTATTAAAACCGGGTTTTTTTTTCTACAAAGTTTCAATATATTTTAAACTCGGCTTCTGTAAATAAAAATATTTGAGATTTCTCGTACAATACTTGGCATTGTCACGGGTATTGCCTTAGGTATACCCTATGGGTAATCAGAATCAATGTTGTCAGTGTCCCAGCACAAGCTAATCTGATCATAGGTCCTGTAAATAATATACTTATCGATACCTGTACAAGGTATGGTACACTGACCATGAGTCTTGTAAATCCCTCAATCAAGGAATTGTCAATCAGGTCAATAACACTTAAACAAAAAATATACAGAATTTTAAAGAAAAAACAAGCAATCCAAAATTACTAACGTGTCAGAATAATAATTTGGGTTTTTTTAACACATTAATTCATAGAATTTTTATGATTTTTACAGAGCCTTCCGACTTCAACTGTACATTTACGACAGTCGCACCAACAACCACATCTAGAACATCAACCGCCTATCCTTCCACCACTAAGACAGGTCAGTTAAGTGGCATCTATATTTCATTTTTAGCCACATTTGCCATTCTATGCTTTCAATTGTTATTAAAATTGGAACTTCTGGGTTGTCGCCATTAGAATTAGAAGCACTTCCTAGTTGAAACACTTTTTTGGCATCACATACGGTAAATGAAAAATATGTAATCATTCTGACTATTCTACACATGATTGACCGGGATGTAATGGTAAATGTGGAAAACATGATTAAAATGCATTACAGCCTAAACACCCCACAATAATTTGATAAGAAGAACTTAATTTTATGTTATATATATATATACTCAATCCTGTAGATCGTGGCCTATAATTGTGCATATAAATATACTTTATGCACTACTATGAAATTTATAATCATGAGGATAGGATGTTAGCTTGTGATCTGGTGTTCATATAATGCATGACCCATGCCTATTCCCTGCAAGGCACTTTATCTACTACTACAATTTATACTGAGTCTTTCCACCAAAGAGTAATAACAAAGAACATAAATAGCAGAAGAATTAGCTCTTCGCGTAGTTTGCATTAAATTTGATGAAACGTCCGCCCTCTCTACAATGGAGGAAAATTATTATTTGATGGAGTGGAGAAACTAATAAAAACAAACGAATCAAAGTTATCCAATTAATCCAACCAATCAAAGATATAGCGCCGCCACTCGAAAGGAGGAAAATTGCTCTCATGTACGCCCTCATGGGGCGTTCGACTATATCGCAAACTGCTCTGTCTTTTGCTATTTATTATCTTTAGTAATAGTTAATTTTTCAAATTTATCAGCCACCACAACAGAGATGCCAACCACCACAACCATGCCAACAACCACAACTATGGAGCCAACCACGACTACCATGCTGCCAACAACCACTACAATGATACCAACGACTCCTATTCATGGTAGGCTTTAATTCATTTATCTACTATAGTATCGGTATACACAATGTTGCACAACTTAACTCTAATTGTGAATTATGATTGTCCGCCATAAAACTATGATACCATCAACTCCTCCACTTCATGGTATGATTCAAATTTTTTCTTTTGCACATTATGTACCAATGCTATTGGTAAAAGTTAAATACGGTATGTATGTATGTCTAAACTCTGCTCGTTCTTCCGTCAGAATGTGTTGAACCTCTGCGAAACATAAAAGATCGTTTGGAAAGTGATCGTAGTATTGATGATGGTGAAGATGCCTCTGAGACTTATATCGGATCAACTGGATGGAATCCAAGCATCGAATCTTTCCTCCAGGCTGCATATTCACAACCACTGAGGGTAACAGGCGTTGAAATCAACAGCCAGAGGGCTGCAACTATACGATTCACTGTCTCGTATACACAACGAGGAAGTGATGCTGTAGAACAGATCACTGATGATAATGGCAATCCAGTGGTAAACAATTTTGATTATTTAATGTCTATTTCTAAATGTTTTTAATAATAATAAGTCGGATTTTTAAAGCGCAATACATAGGTCTCTATGCGCTAGAAATATTCTTTATGTTTTCTGTTATAATTACTTACCATTTCATATGCACTTTAGCATTTTAAATTATAGTCTATTTATCTGGAAGATATTATATAATTTTAATTTTAATTTTCAGGTGTTTGAGAAGGAGCTTACTGGAAATCGTGTGACAGACAGACTACTTTTCTCTGATGTAGGAATTCTTGATGTAACTTCCATCAAGATCACTTTGACATATGTTCCAAATGAAAGCATCTCAGTGTCCTTTGAATTTGTTGGTTGCATTGAAGAGGGTAAGCTGTAATATTTGTTTAAAAAAAGTGTAGGATTTTAGTATTAAGAATTTTTAAATTTATGAAATATTTGTTTTAAAATTTTCATACACAGTGTACACAACCAGGATGCCGACAACAGAGATGCCAACCACCACAACCATGATGCCCACAACAACAACAACAGAGATGCCAACCACCACAACCATGATGCCAACAACAGAGATGCCAACCACCACCACTGTGATGCCAACCACTACGACCATGATGCCAACAACTACAACAATGGTGCCAACCACCACAGCAGAGATGCCAACCACTACAACCATGGTGCCAACAACCACAACCATGGAGCCAACCACCACAACCATGTTGCCAACAACCACTACAATGATACCAACGACTCCTATTCATGGTAGGTTTTAATTCTCTTTATTTATTATTGTATCTGTATACACAGTGTTGCACAACTTAACTCTAATTGTGAATTATGATTGTTCGTCCATCAAAATATGATACCGCCAACTACTCCTCTTCCTGGTATGATTCAATTGGTTTTTTGCGCATTAAACGTGCCAATGCTATTGGTGACAGTTAAATATGTATGTCTAAACTCTGTTCGTTCTTCCATCAGAATGTGTTGAGCCTCTGCGAAACATAAAAGATCGTTTGGAAAGTGATCGTAGTATTGATAATGGTGAAGATGCCTCTGTGACTTATATCGGATCAACTGGATGGAATCCAAGCATTGAATCTTTCCTCCAGGCTGCTTATTCACAACCACTGAGGGTAACAGGCGTTGAAATCAACAGTCAGAGGGCTGAAATTATAAGAGGGTAAGTTTTAATATTTGTTACAACTAGACTGTAGAATTTTAGTACTGAGAATTTTTAAATTTATGAAATATTGGTCTAAATTGAATCACCTTACCTTATTGTCATCTCTTTGCTCTATATAAGCTTAGTGTTCAGTAGTTGTGATTGCGCTTGATAATGATGGTTGAGCCGTCGAAACATGTCGTGGTATAAATTGATTATTTTTTATGAAATATTTGTTTTAAAATTTCCATACACAGTGTACACAACCAGGATGCCGACAACAGAGATGCCAACCACCACAACCATGAAGCCAACAACTACAACAGAGATGCCAACCACCATCACCACCACCGTGATGCCAACCACTACGACCATGATGCCAACAACTACAACAATGATGCCAACCACCACAGCAGAGATGCCAACCACTACAACCATGGTGCCAACAACCACAACCATGGAGCCAACCACCACAACCGTGTTGCCAACAACCACTACAATGATACCAACGACTCCTATTCATGGTAGGCTTTAATTCTCTTTATTTATTATTGTATCTGTATACACAGTGTTGCACAACTTAACTCTAATTGTGAATTATGATTGTTCGTCCATCAAAATATGATACCGCCAACTACTCCTCTTCTTGGTATGATTCAATTGGTTTTTTGCACATTAAACGTACCAATGCTATTGGTGACAGTTAAATATGTATGTCTAAACTCTGCTCGTTCTTCCATCAGAATGTGTTGAGCCTCTGCGAAACATAAAAGATCGTTTGGAAAGTGATCGTAGTATTGATAATGGTGAGGATGCCTCTGTGACTTATATCGGATCAACTGGATGGAATCCAAGCATTGAATCTTTCCTCCAGGCTGATTATTCACAACCACTGAGGGTAACAGGCGTTGAAATCAACAGTCAGAGGGCTGAAATTATACGATTCACTGTCTCGTATACACAACGAGGTAGTGATGCTGTAGAACAGATCACTGATGATAATGGCAATCCAGTGGTAAAAAAATTTGATTATTTAATGTCTATTTCAAAATGTTTTTAATAATAATAATAATAATAATAATAAATAGGATTTTTAAAGCACATAATACATGTCTCTGTGCGCTACAAATATTTTTTTTATGTTTTCAGTTATAATTACTAATTATTTCATATGCACATTAGCATTGTCAATTGTAAATTATTTATCTGGAAGATATTATAAAATGTTAATTTAATTTCCAGGTGTTTGAGAAGGAGCTTAGTGGAAATCGTGTGACAAACAGACTACTTTTCTCTGGTGAAGGAATTCTTGATGTAACCTCCATCAAGATCACTTTGACAGATGTTCCAAATGAGGACATCTTCGTATCCTTTGAATTTGTTGGTTGTATTGAAGAGGGTAAGTTTTAATATTTGTTACAACTAGACTGTAGAATTTTAGTACTGAGAATTTTTAAATTTATGAAATATTGGTCTAAATTGAATCACCTTACCTTATTGTCATCTCTTTGCTCTATATAAGCTTAGAGTTCAGTAGTTGTGATTGCGCTTGATAATGATGGTTGAGACGTTGAAACATGTCGTGGTATATATTGATTATTTTTTTATGAAATATTTGTTTTAAAATTTCCATACACAGTGTACACAACCAGGATGCCGACAACAGAGATGCCAACCACCACAACCATGAAGCCAACAACTACTACAGAGATGCCAACCACCACAACCGTGATGCCGACAACAACAACTATGATACCAACAACCACTGAAGTAATCACTACTACCATAGGTACTGCAGGCCATATTTTGATATAAAATAATATTTTATTGCTTTCACTAACTCCCCACTAAGATGAAGGACTAGTGTCCAAAAATTGGTATCTATTTCTTGCTGTTGACTTACGTTTGCTACCAATATCCAACCATTTCCCCCAGTATTTTGCCTTTTATACAGTTAGCACCTCTATAATGTAAATTATATACAGATGATTATACTATATGTGAATATATTTCAAGTAGATCAGTTAATATCCTGGAAACAAATAATCAAGTATGATTTCGTAAATTTAATTGTTAAATTGAATTTGACGTTCTTAATTTCAGTATGCAGTGAAGAATGTAATTGTGATGCAGGATGTGAACATCTTGGTACCAGTGACCGATTGCCTTGTCCCGATAATCCACAATGCGAGCATTGCCCCTGTGAAAGTGGGTATTATCGAGATAATATTTGGGGAACAAAATTGTGTATTCGTACCACCAATGAGTGTCCGTGTGAATATAATGGACAAACGTATGCCGTAAGTTAATAAAAATGAGACTTACTTATACGAATAAAAATATATGACAATAAAAAGCATAGAACCATAATAGTTAAAGAAGGCTAACATGTGACAATATAAAACCTCTTTATGTATATCATATGTATATGCTGCTAAAAGTTAACCTCTTGAGATATTTCTATAACAACTCATTAAATACTGATGCATATGTCTAGGTACTGCATTGCTTGTCTTATGTTTGCATCTAGGGAAATAGCTGTATTGCATGAGTATATCCGGAAATGTGTGTGGAGCACATATAACCTGTTCGCCAAATGAAAATGTTACTTATCTGAATGACTGTAGTGTGTGTTTTACGTTTCTGATGGTGTTTATTTGTTTTAAATTCATTTAGCAATACATAATAATGTCATAAGAAACGCTACATCAAACATATCATTTGAAGTACATGCAGTATTTCTTTTTATTTTTTTGTTTCTCCTTTTAAAATATATTATACACACACTGTTAATTCCTAATCTATTACAATTTACATCTAGTATAATGAAGAATTCTGGGAAGGTGATTGCTCTAGATGTATTTGCAATTCAGAGGGTGTGACTTACTGCGAAGACGATTGTGCCCTGACTGAAGAACATTGTAGCTCGGTACGTCCAACATTACATTTACTTGATCGTAAATTGATGCATTCGTGAGCGATCATGTAGTTGACCTGTAATACCCTGGCTTGTCAAGAAAATGCATTATTTGCTTTCACGCATATATTATATAAGATACAGTTTTGCCCGCCCTAAAACCTAATTCTAGAACTAGGATTTCGAGAAGGCCACTTGCAACTATTATTTAGAACGCAGTTTAATTATTCTTGCTATTTCTAAACTCCCAAAAAACCCCAAATTCATCATTGTATATTACGGTTTGTTGTGTTCACTTGAATACAATGTTCATACAATTATAATGATATACAAATTATTAGAATTCAAATTATAACAATTTGTTATAAATGAAACCTGCATTTATTGGATTTTCTAATCTCTTTTCAATGCTACAATCAACCTCTACTCCATAGTCATGTGTGGCGAGACAAAAAATATTTAATGTAACAGATTAAAGTACATTTGTATAGCCAATATATCTTTATTCACTAATATCAGAATAAAGATATATAGCCAATATATCTTTATTCTGATATTAGTGAACATAATTACATTTATTTATTTTAGCAGTCCCTATACACAAAAGTAGTTAAATATTTAAATGGTTATTATATTTTGTTGTAGATTGGAATGGTGCTTTCACAAGCACAAGAAACATGCTGCGAATGTTTGCCACAAACAACCACACTAACAACAACTATTGTTACAACTGAGGAACCAACAACCACTGTGCAGACTACTACTACTGAAACTACAACAACAAGACCACGAACAACTACAATGCTGCCAACAACGACTACAATAATGCCAACAACGTCTGTAACAACAGAACATCCAACAACCACAGTTACTACTGTAACCGAGACAACAACTAAACTAGCAACAACTCTGTATACAACAAAAGAAAGTACAACTGAAAAAACTACAATTGTTACAACTCCAAAACCAACGACAACAACAGAGATGCCAACAACAACAACAACCATGATGCCTACCACCACAACTATGATTCCGACCACAACAACAGAGATGCCGACCACCACAACCATGATGCCTACCACCACAACCACCATGATGCCGACTACCACTACAGAGATGCCAACTACCACAACAATGATACCGCCAACTACTCCTCTTTATGGTATGATTCAAATGTTTTCTTTTGCACATTTATGTACCAATGTTATTGGTAAAAGATAAATATGTGTGTCTAAACTGTGCTCTTTCTCCCATCAGAATGTGTTGAGCCTCTGCGAAACATAAAAGATAGTTTGGAAAGTGATCGTAGTATTGAGAATGATGAGGATGCCTCTGAGACTTATATCGGATCAAATGGATGGAATCCAAGAATTGATTCTTTCCTTAAAGCTGTGTATTCACAACCATTAAGAGTAACAGGCGTTGAAATCAATAGTCAGAGTGCTGTAACTGTACGATTCACTGTCTCTTATACACAACGGGGTAGTGATGCTGTAAAAGAGATCACTGATGATAATGGCAATCCAGTGGTAAGTATTATACAGTAGAACCCCTATTTAAGGGGACACATTTGGAACCAAAAAAAGTGTCTCCTATTAAGGGGGCACTAACCAAAAACATAAAATTGGTCCCTTAATATGGGTTTTTGGCATGTTTTCATATAACAATGACATTCTTTGTAATTTTATTTGTATTGACATAGAATCAGTTAAAGTAGAATAAGAACTAATTTATAGCAATAATTTGCAATGCAAATTATACAATTCATTTATAATATGAAATCAGCAGAAATGTAATTAATAGTTAAATATATTCCCAATATTTTTTTATTATGCAATGTTAATAACCAAATATTCTTTTTTTATCATTGAGCTTTCTATTAAATAATCAAATAATTTCATATGGTTTGAAATAGTATAATGTGATTGCTATGTGTGCAATATGTATGTGAAATGTCCTGAAAAGGTAAACAAATACTGGTTTATTTACAAATAACAACAATCACATTAGAGCTTTCCATTAGATTGATGTAGCATGATTAGAGTAATATGTTTTGATGTGGATTAGAATCCTATATGAAATACACAAAAAACAAAGAAAAGAAAATCCCCATTGTTAAGGGTTAAAATTGACAAGATTGATTTACGAAGTAACACATGCAGTAAGCCTATATTGATTTACTCATGAATGATTTGTTCTTATTTTTTAGAGTGCTGTAGATGTTTTGATTCAATGAAAAAAAATTAAATATCCCCTTAATAAGGGTTATTTGCCCATTTGGCACACTCCGAAAGTGTCCCCACTCCTTAATAGGGGTGTCCCCATAATAAGGGTTGGCTGTAGTGTTCAAAGGAAGGGTTCTACTGTAATTTTATTTCATTAAGTGTAAGAACTTCATCATTGTAGAGAATTTATATCAGAGATATTAATTGATGAATTTACAGGTGTTTGAGAAGGAACTTACCGGAAATCGTGCGACAGACAGACTACTGTTTTCTGGTGAAGGAATTCTTGATGTAACTTCCATCACGATTACTTTGGAATATGTTCCCGATGAGGACATCTTGGTATCCTTTGAATTTGTTGGTTGTATTGAGCAAGGTAGGTTGTAATAATGTTAGTAAAACTAATAAAATTGATTGTAAATATTATTGGTAGTAGTGATTATAATTAATTTCATTTTCCTATTTAAACTGGGTTATGCAATGTGTCACAGTATTTTAATGAAAGAATAAGTCAGTGTATGCATTGGCCTGCACCCTGAAACTGAAATGAAATAAGTTTAAAGCGTTACTGAACTTGCACATAAGCCTACTGCGACAACGGCTCTATTATCATAATCCAACTGCAATGTAATTGGAGCAGAGACCAACGAATATTTAAAGTTTAGCACAGATTATTAAAAAAAAAACAATATCAATTATATTATTAAAGAAAAAAACGAATTCATACGCCCTAGCTGTTGTTGTTAAATGATGGATTGTTCCGTAGATGAACTAGTATATGTACAATAATCAAGGTGTAGGCCTTGCCGATTAGGGCCTGGGAGAAGTAATGCTAGGCTATAGTTTTTTATTTTCTAGGCCAGCCGTGGCAATAGCCAGTTGTTGATGTGATCGCCGATCGAGCATTTCTATAAAATCGGCGACTGATTTCTATTTAAGTGTGTAGCAATTATAGAACCAAGGCTTTCCGCCAATTTGAACAACTTAACTATTGTCACCATTTTATTGAAACTGCGGCGTGTTTCTTGATAAGACTTGAATCTTAAAAAACAATTGATGGGGAGAATGATTATAATAATAATGGTGAAGATTATAATGGTGATGATGATACGGATGCTGATGAAGATATCATTAACCTAACTGTCAGAAAATGTTTAAATATGTTTTCGTTTTCATATACAGAGTATACATCCATCAAGCCAACAACTACAACAGAATTGCCAACTACCACAATGGAGATGCCAACAACTACAACTAAGATGCCGACAACCACAACGGAAATGCCAACAACTACAACTGAGATGCCACCAACCACTAGAACCACAGTCAAAACTACTGGTTAGATCCTAAATTTATTACTTGGAATTAACAATAATTATTAAGAATACTATTTGAAAGATGGTTATCTCTAAATTACATCTATGTAAGTATGTTTCATATATATATTGTTAAATTATTATATAAATCGTTAACGTAAGGTAAATACAGTGTTTGAATGAAGGACATATTACTACATCGTATAGCATAGCTCTCAACAAATGCAGTTCTATAAATTAATAAAAAAATTGTGTAATAAAATGCCTCTGGTGGGATTCGAATCTGCGACCTAGCCGTACCTATTGTGTAATAGAGTGTATCTGGCGTATTTGAATCTGTTCAACCATGAAGCCTCTGTGGTGTAATGGTTATGACGCTCGCCTTGACAGCAAAAGGTCGGAAGTTCGAATTTATACATTTATATATTTTAATGGCACTATTAATACACTATGAAGGTAATTCAACTAATTTAACACGGACTTTTAATAAGATAATTATTTAACATATTTTTTTAGAAGTTACAAAATACACTATGAAGGTAATTCAACTAATTTAACACGGACTTTTAATAAGATAATTATTTAACATATTTTTTTAGAAGTTACAACAACTCCAATGAGTACATCTGAGATCACAACTGTGAGGACAACAACCATGATACCAACAACCACAACAACGATGCCAACAACGACCACCATGACCTCAACAGTCACAACAGAGACGCCAACAACGACTACCATGACTCCAACAATGACAACAGAGCTACCAACAACCACGACAATGGTCCCAACAACTACAGCGGAGATGCCAACCACTACGACAGAGATGCCAACAACTACAACAGAAATGCCAACGACCACGTTCACAACTATGATTACAACTGAACCAGTTACCACAACAGTTCTACCAACAACAACACAGACATCAACATTCACGACAGTTACAACACCAGCACCTACAACTACAATAGTTGAGACTACAACAAGCAAGTTAACAACTACAGTAGAACCAACTGAAGGTAATAAGATATTTTTATTTCATGATGAATTTTTAAATAATAAAAATAATACCTATTCATAAATATTTTTATATTTTTATTGCATAAAACCGACAATAGTTTATTTGTCGTAGCCATTATAAAATTTATTCCATCTATTTTATTTCCAAAATAATAAATACAGTATTAAAGTTAGAAATATTTACATATTGTTACTGTACTCTCCATTTTGTAGGACCATGTAGAAAGTCTCTAGGAATTGACGCTTTGGAGTCTCCTCTTGATGTCAAGCGCTACCTGCAAAATGTTTTGGATAGTGATGATTCAAGTATTATCGATAGTAGAAACCCTTGGTCACCAGAGGTTAGTGCAGAAGATGATCTTCCAGAGGTTAGCGTTGTCTTTAGTAAGCCGATTGAGTTAATGGCAATTGCTATCCAAGGTGATGGGTCTAAGGTTGCAACAGTGTTTACTGTAGAGTACCAGGAACCAAATGATGATCAATGGCTGCCATTCAAAGACCAGGTCGATGATGTTCTACCAAAGGTAAGTTTTTCTTATTATTTTTAATAAGCATATAGGGCAAGTGGTTAAACCGTTGGTAGCTACTGTGTGCGTGCACAGAATTGTGGTGTGGTTTGTTTCTATTGCACCAAGCTGTTCTTTACGTGAACTACAGGTTATAGTCTACTGTCTTTTATAAAGGATAATTAGGCCATGTGCTGCTCAATTCACATGTGCTGTACTGCGGTCGCTGTGAGACATCAGGAGCTGACCCCAAATGTTCTAATTAGTTTATTATCTTATGATGTATTACTACCAAAGAATATAAATAGTTATCCCTAAATCCCGTAAAATTTATTATATTTTCTGTTTGTACGCACCGATTAAACATTTGTGCATTGGATAAAACTATTCTACTAACAGTGTTAAAATGTTAAAAGGATTCATAATATAATATATAATATTGTAATGAACATTATACATGAAATTGCTATTACCATTAATGTATTAACATCGGAAATAAAACTGATATATTGTAATTTTTAAGATAAAATTTTATTATATTTTAAAAGAATACCTGAAAATCAAGAATTTCTTGTTTCTTTCTTAGGAGTTCGAAATTGAACAACGGAATGACAATTCTGAAGTCGTTGAGTTTGACGTAGAGATTGATATGGTGAAGGCTCTTAGAATTTCTGTCAAAGAATGGTCAGATTCTGGACTAAGTTTACGAATCGACGTCATTGGCTGTTTAGCTGAGGGTAGATAACATATATTCCATCATTTCGATTATTTCATTCATCCATCCCGTTATTTATTCTTTATTTTACTTTAACAAAAAAGAAACTCAATAACTCCACCACAACCCTTTAACTGTTGTTTCGGGACTTAAGTGTTATCCACAGTATCATCTAACGTTTTTTTTTTTGTTTTGGTTTTTTTTTTTTAGTATTTTGGCGTGTTATATTTTTTGTAGTTGGCCCTAGCAGAAACATCCATTGTTGTATTTCCCATTGTTTAAAAATGGCCCTTTTATAAAGTTTGAAACTGATAAAATCTTGGCATTTTCAGGACAAAAAATGCATGATTTTAAAAAGCGAGAATATTTCAGATTCAGTTACTTTTGTACATGCGTTGCTAGCTATTTTGAAGGCACTTCGGCATTTTACCGTCATTGACATCAGTTGACATATATTTAAGTTTTTATACTGAAAGATACCAATCTATATAGTATTTAGGGACCATGAGTATAGATTTTAATTTGTCATCATTCTGAAAATGTATTCATGTAGCATTTAAAACCATGATAATTACGAACTTGTTTCTTTTAAAGTTCGTTACAGCTAACCGTTAAGGAAATGTACACATTGCTCGCAAGTGCACTTTATAAAACAGGTAAATAATAATAATTGTGTAATGTATTGTATTTATAGTTGTGACAACCACAGAAACCATAACAACTAAACAGTCTACTACTGTTTCACCAACAACCACCCACGTAATGACAACAGAAAAAGCCACGACTGTCTTACCAACAACCAGAACAACCACAGAATCTACAACTATGGCAATTACTACACCTATGGAAACAACAGGTAAGGAATTATTTTAAAAACTCCTCAATAATATTTACAAATCATTCACCATATATATCATAATATCATATCATATATTTTGCCTTATAACATACAAAAAACAATACAAAAACACAGGTAGTAATTCAGCAAGGCAGCATTGCCAAAATTTAATTTAAAAAAAATCAAAGTCAAAGTGGCTTTCCACACTGAAAAACTACAACAAAGAAGAGAGCATTATTCAAATATATAAAATTCAATTACAGTTAGAAATCACATAGATGGCAAAAATAAAATTCAAAAGCAATTTAAAATATATAACAATTGTTTTGAAATATGTAAAATCGAAATATGGCATTTGATTTTCGGTTATCAATACATCACCTAAAGAGCAATGATGTTTATACAACACAACGTATTGCTTAAGCTGTACTATTAATATAAATATCCCATTGTTTGCTCACAATTTCTGACAATAATGTCTTTTTGAAGAGGGACCTTGTTCTGAAGAGTTGACTGAACTTGGGGAAGAAGGTGAGCGTACAACAAGCCCAGGTGAAGGATCAACTTCTATGGAAGGCGAGTCACCATTCAAAGCAGATTCAATTCTTGATATCTGGGCTGTAACCACCTTCCCCTCGCCTGTCCAGTTGTCAGCTGTTGTTTTCAAATCAAGTGATGTTGATGTTTTTATCACAAATGTCGAGATAACATTCTTCAGAGATGATATGCCTATCGAGACTAGAAATGTAAGAACAATATATTTTATCAATGGTTTTATCGCCCATCATTAGGATTTATTTATTTCATTTATCCTGTCTTAATGAAAAATACCAAAACAAATCTGAGGTGTGGGTTTATTGGTTGCTTGAACAAACATAGATTACAGTGAGTTTAAGCTTTAGATTTTAAAAACTGAAGGGAATGCTGTAGTAATAATAACTAGATAGTACGGTATAGTTTACCATTTGATTTGTGTGTTTTGTAAGAGCTATCATGTAAAATATTTTAAAACGGAAAATCACAATTAACCTAATTACTAAGTCAAGTCCATCATATCTCTTTGTACAGATGTTTAGAGTGTGATACCACAAAATTTAAACCTATTACAACCTGATTCACTCCTAGTTATATTTGATTTGTACGAAGATGTGTCGAATGTTTTTTGTTTGTGTCGAATTTATAATAAGTAGATTAGTAGCATAAACATTACTTTATTTTATTTTATATTTTTTATATTTTATAAATTAATTTCAGGAATATGAGGTTGTATTTAAAAATGATGTCGCGCGTGTAAAACTAGCAGGATTGGTTGGTCCTTTGGACTCTGTACGTATAAAAGTAACAGGATCAAGTGTTCAAGAGGAGTCTCCAACTTTGCAATTCAAATTCCTTGGCTGTAAAGTCGAGGGTGAGTACACATTTCCAGTTCGGGAGCAGATTTTTCCAGATTTCTCACAAACATTTTCCCTTAAATACTTTTCCCGGTATGTTTTTCCTGGTCTGATTGATAAAGAAAATAGTGCCTATGAGAATTTTTTGATCCATCCTTATATAATATTAATACTGTATTTATTCGGATAAACGCCAGAGGGGGTTTATTGTTGAGAAGTATTTTTAAGGTGTTGTTCTGAAAGGCATTTATTTATATTTTTGGTGTAAAATGGATACGTATCCTCAAATATACGCCCTTAATTTCACTGTAAATTTGGAACTACAACACATAATATTACCGTCAAATTGTGTTACTGCCTGATCATAAAAACCTATTGATCCCAACCAAGTTTATAGAAACAATGTAGACGTACATTAATAGAATATGTTGAACATGTTCACGAGTCGAATAGCCGAGCAGTTAAGGCAGGGGAGCTGCATGGTTCCTACAGTCATAATATCAGCGCTGGAGGTGCAACGTGTCTCTCGGATAAGGACTACTGTAGGCCCAGTGTACACAATTGGCTCATGTGCACTATAAAGAATCCAGTACATTTTTCGAAAGGAGTTGGGCTTTAGCGGATGTAATCGTCCATACAGCATTTGTTGTGGACAGTCGAGAGTGGTGGGATACTCCGACACGAAGAGGCCCTTAGGGGAGAAGTTTATACTGTATGGGCTAGTCTACGTTTTAAGCGCTATGATTTTCATGAAATAACGCTATATAAGTGTTTTAATGTATATGTTTTTTTTTTGTTTTTGTTTATTCAAATTGGAGTTTATTCATATTGGGGCGTTTATTCTAATAAATAATAAATACGGTATGCATCTTTATTCATTTTTCAGTTACCACCGAATCTACGACAATTTCTACCACTGAGGTTACAACCAGAATGTCAACCACTCCAGTACGTACCACAACTGTTACAACCACCAAGACCACACCATATGTTACCACAGAGGAGGTCACCACTATATCGCCAACCACGACTGTAACCACGATATCAACAATGACACCATCAGAAACGACTACAAAGATGACCACGACAACACCGACAGAAACAACCGTAGTGACCACAACAGAAACACCAACGACAACGATGTCAACAACAAGAACTACATCAGTGATGACTACAGAGCAGTGTGAGTCAAATGTTATTAGATACATTAGGCAAATTCATTTTATATAGTGTGTTTTAAAATCACATTACTCTTTCATGTCATGCTGTCAGCTATTCAGTAAAACAGTATACAAAAACCATATAAGGGGCACCCCTAGATACTGTGTATTACACAAAAATAAAGTGACTCCCTTTGATTTATATCATGTTTACTAAGAAACTTCAACAATTTTTAGCATCAAAGTGATTCGTTACATAAAAGAATGATTTTTTTTTGCCTGTTTTTCTTTTACTGTCTCTGTTATTTTTTTTACTGATTTCTATACTTTTGAGCTTCTACTTTTTTATATATCCATATAAAATAAAATAGAAATTGTGATAATTTAATCTTTAATTTCAGATTGTACTTACAATGGTGTCAGATATGCGGTAAGTTTTTTTTCTGGTTTTGTTTATTCTTTACACGATTATTTTTATTACTTACATATTTTGTGTCTTAAAGCAATGATGTGGTGAAACTTTTTGGAAATTCAGAAAAAATAATTACACATGGATTGCATTATATTTAATGACAATCTTTCTGTATTCTAAGCGTTTAATTTGAATGATAATATGTTGTTTGCCTTAATTTAAATTCTATTTTTGATCATCCGTCTTTGTTGTATTATATTTATTAAACATTGAGTAGCTAGATTTAAAGGACGGGGTCGACAAAGGTTGTGCACTAAATTTGTCTATCAGATATATCTGAAAATTATTTTCTTTTTTTTATTTGAATATCAGCCTGGTGATAGTGTACCTTCTGATGACCCTTGTGATACAATCATATGTACTTATGACGGAATCGAAGTTGCTTCTATCCAATGCGATGTGATTGAATGTGTTGATGTAAGTTACTTAGTTTTCTTATCAAACAAGATCATTAACATCACTCCAGATCATATTTATCTTTTTTATACAGAAAATAGGTTTCATATAATATTTTCCAATTAAAAGTTCAAAAATGTGATGGTAAAATTCAAGGCAATAAACAACCTTAAACAAACTAAATGCATAACGAATAATGTTATTGTAAATGGTATTTCAACTTTTTCGAACAATTTATTTCTTCATATACCGAAAGGTCCACTGATTAATCTCAGATAAGAAAGTATAATACAGTACATACTCCAAGTATTGAAATGCACGCCATCATGTTGGGATTCAATATTTCGACATTAATCATGTCATCATCAGGAATTATTTCTTTATTGTTAATGTTGTTGTTATGCCGCTGTTATTAGTTTGATCTGTATTGCTAGTGATATTGTTATAATTGTTATTGTTTTTATTATTAATATTATTAAAGTAGTCCTATGTATGTTTACCTACATGTACTTGATTGCCGCATGCCTGTATCTCTGTATCTATTATAGTCCTATGTTAAGTGTAGTTAAATATACTCTTAATTGAGTTTGACTGTTAAAATAATTGAGGGAAACATGTTTTTTTCAGGGCACATTATTTACCTATGAAGGTGATTGCTGTCCAACATGCGGTAGGAAATATTCTATTTTTCATTTTTTAAAAATTATATCGTAAAACTTTTACGCAATAAATTATTAAAAATGTATTGATGATGAAATGGTATAGAAGTATGTGCATAAGAATGTTGACAGTTTGCTAATATACTGTCATTGGACAGAATGATGTAATAAATTTCACAATAATATTACTGAAATTGGGTTATCTGGGTCGGGCGCTTTGGAAGTTTGGGTGTACAAACAGTGATGGAGCAGCAGGGCCGGATTTAGGGAAGGGGGACGGGGAGTTTGCCACTGTAGTATTTTATTTAACAGAAACAAATATAAAATGGCATACAAATATAAAATGTTTAGTAACAGCATATACTGCACACGCATTATACCATTATTGGATAATTATTTATTTGAGAAATTATATTGCATCTTGGCCTATAAGGAATTGGTGCCTCTCGATTTAAAAAAATTGATCCCACCCCTGCATTTAAACTGGGGAGGGTGTGGCAGGATTGTGGTATAGTGTGTGTGTTTTGAGCTTCATTCTGTGTGTTGATAGCTTCATACGATTTACGATTCTATTTTTATACTTTCTTGCAGTGAATGATAAGTGCAAAGTCTATGAAGAATACGATGAAAACTTCACTATAGATGAGTGTGTATCAGATCAACCACTCCTTAAAACATCATGCGTTGGACGCTGTGAATCAACCAGCAATGCCACTACGATGGCTCCTTACTTCAGTTCACATTGTAACTGTTGTAAACCAGCTTCCTTTACAACACAAACCTTGGAACTTACCTGCCCAGGTGAGAAGCAGCAGACGTTCGAATACTACGTCATAGAATCATGTAGCTGTGATATTTGCGAGTACGATGTCCCTGCAACTGAGTTACCAAATATTGGATTTGTAGGCGGATACCAAACAGGACCTTAATGTGATTACCTAAGTGATGAAATGAATTTATATTAGTTTAGTGTTATTAAATTTAAATTTTTAAACAGATTAAGTATAATACGAATAGTCTATTTCGTGAATACTACTTGGATAAAAAGACTAATTGTCATTGTTCCCGAAACTCATAGACTTTCAACATCACAATTAATTTTGTGTATGTCAAATATTTATTAAAAGAAAAGAAGCATCGTACATGCTGTATAATTTTTCACTAATATCAGAAAATATTGTACGTTATATAAACAGTTCACGTTTTTTCAAACAGTATTAAAGATTAGGTTGTATTTGTTTGAGCATTAAATACCCTTCTAAGCATTTACGTTTGTGGTTGTATAATTTAATTTTTGTTTATCTATTTGATCATCAATGTGCGCAATAAGAACATTGTGTAGCATAACCACTGGCGTAAATGATGCTCTCCCTATGTCAAAATAAAAAAAAAAGATGGACTATGTCAGTATCTGTCTCTTATACACATCTAGATGTGTATAAGAGACAGATGAAAACTCAGATACGTAAAATGTTGACTTAGTGTCGACATAGAATAACATAAGTAATAGGCCTATGTATACTTATTTTGTGAAGGACTATTCGTTAAAAACCTAAGATCTTATTTGATGCAAATTTATAAGTGTTTAATTTTAAGATTCTCTGTAACTCAGTACAACGTATAAATCAGTAAGACATTTAAAATATGTAGTTACTACTACAAATTTAATATCACCAAAGAATGGTTAGGCAAATTAAAATGTTGTGCAACAGGAAAAACAACTACAAACTGCATTTGTTATGGTTGTTTCACCGAAGTCGAAATTTTCTCCCTGTTTTGCTGATATAGCAGCCACGATCACACGTGGAACATACGATTATGTATATAACATTTGTAGAATTACATGTGGTAATGAGCAGGGCCGGTGGAACGTTTTTCAAAATGGGGGAGCCACTAGTAAGATAAATGGGAATATGAATGGGTTCAAAGTTAGTGGGTGGGGGGGGGGACATTTTTACCAAAAACCCCAAAAAGGAAGGGGGTTCGGGGTCCTCCACCGAGAAAAATTTTGATTCTTAGATTGCGGGGAATGAGCTTTCCTGACTTTGAGCTAGGTGTCTATTTATGACTTAAGGACTTTAAATTTGTTAAAAATTCAAGGTTTTCCCCTCTTAAAACGGTCAGGTAAATTGTTCTCATTCCTATTACAGTAAATAGGCCTTACGTATGTATGCCTATAAAATAAATGAGTAATTGTACACGTATTCTTATATGAATCGATAAATCCCAAAAAAAGAATGGTGGAGGGGTGGGGAGGTTGTGTCCTGGGGTCCTGCTTCGTGAAAATTTTGATTCCTGAATAGTGGAAATGAGCTTTCTCGAATTCTGAGGTGTCTTTTAATGACTTTTAATTTCTTAAAAAATCAAGGTTTTTCCCTATTGAAAACGATTCCATGAATCGATGAACCCAAAGGTTTTCCACCTCTTGAAAAGGGTCAGGTAAACTTTCTCATTCTCATTGCAGTGAATAGGCCTGTTATGTGTGTATACATACATAAACAAATGAGTAGTTGCATACGTGTTCCCCATGAATTGATAAACTCATTATTATTAAAGTAAATAGGCCTTATATGTGTATGCATACATAAAAAAAAAAGAGTAATTGCATACGTATTTTTATTACATGAATCGATAAATCCCCAAAAGAAAGGAGGGTCTGGGGAAGATTTTGATAAAAGAATTTGAAATATATTTTACACCTAGGGGTGGCGCCAGTTGAGGGAGCCTCAATCCATGTCGGAGTGAAAAACCACAATTCGTTGGGGAGAAAAAAATATGTATTTCCTACATATTAATTAGTAGACTCTAAAATCGAATAAAAAATAAGCATTTGAATCTCTAAATTGTCAAACGTTTTAGAGGCGGCCCCCAAGACCACTTCGAATTGTTTTGACCTAACCACACTTTCGTCGAGAACATCGGCCCCCCTGTCGTTGACCTCAGGCCCCCTTCGGGCAAATGCTGGCGCCACCTCTGTTTACACAAATATTAGTGAATAGGCTCAAGGTAGCCATTACAATTTTAAAAATGTCGAAATCCTCATTAATTAAAACTTAGTTTTGTAAAATTTTTGAGATAATAATCAAATTGCCCAACGACACATCATTTGATATTTGTCTTTCCAATTCTTTTAGAGTTCTGGTCTACTTATCAAGAGACTCATCGACTATATTGCGCTCAAAAAACATACTGCAGACGGAAGTGGAATTTGTTTCTCATAATTAATTCTATCTGTGTAGCATAACCACTGGCGTAAATGATGCTCTCCCTATGTCAAAATAAAAAAAAAAGATGGACTATGTCAGTATAGGTCTGATTAATGACTTCGGATATTAGAAATGTTAACACTGATTTAGACGATGTTTTTTAAATGTTGTGTTTTTCTTTTTTTAATGAAAGATATCGGGTATTTTTGTTGCTTTGGTTTAACTTGCATATGAGAGTGTAAATGTACTTGTTAAATTTTATACAAAGTACAGTAAAACTATCCTCCTCCCGGTAATTCTAATTCCAGGTTTCAGGGCTGGAATTCGTATACTAAAAAGTGATGGCTAGACCAATGTGGGGGTGGATGCTAATTAGCGGTGGGCGCTGAAATAGTAATTTCTAGGTTAGTAGCCTGGTAGGACACTACTTCCTTTGGCAGAAATTTTCTTGCAGATAGCCTACACGGTTTTTGTGCACCTGTCTAACATCCAAATTACGGTGGAAGCAAGCTTGTATGTAAACTACTGTATCGTAGGCACGTCGTCGCCAAAAGCATCTAAAATATTGAATTTCGGAGTGTTTCTTCTAAGTTTTGAAAATGTACATAGAGGTAAGTAAAGCGTGCACTATGCCGTACTGTTACTGTTGTAGGCATACACGGTGATAGATTTAATTGCGGCATCCATTGTTGTGTTGTTGTTCAGGGCTGTCTACATTGTTCAGACCGCAGTGTGCTCTAAATTACACAAATCAATCGTGATGTTGGTAGTCTATGACTCGATTTGAAGAGAGTCCTTTTCATTCATTTTGTGGACTGTTTTTTAAAACACAGCAAACCGACTAATTGCCATTGTTCCTTTAAGAACACCCTCTTAGTCGGTATATCCAGGTGTCTCACTCATAAACTACCAACATCACTTTTGATTTATGTAAATTTGGCCATAATACAATGGCATTAAACCGGAATATCCGAAGTTAAAATATAAACAACAGTTACAACAAAACAGAGCTAAAAATGTGTTGTGTAATGACATGTATATTTTTTATAGTAGTTCAACCTACTTTCAACAATGTAAATTTATGTACTCTTTGAAATAAAAAAAAATCATTTTAATTAATTTAATAAATTTTAATATTATTTATATAGTGACTTAAAAAAGATCCATGGGTCGTAAAATGCGCTTTCATTTGAATACAGTAGGCCTATTATAACAGTCGCATAAATATACAAGTCATGAAAATAGAATACAGCATACAGTGATTTTAATGCCGTTAATGTCCACACAATCTTTGTGTGGTTGTACATTTTATTATTTTTTTATCTAAATCATTTTAATTAATTCAATAAAGTGTAATATTATTTATACAGTGACTTAAAAACGATCCGTGGGTTGTTTAAATTTAAATTTAATTAAAATAGGTCTATAAGAACCGCATAAATATAAAATTCATGGAAACAGAATGCCGTTAATGTTATCAAAATCGTTGAATATTTATACATTTTAATATATTCTTGCACTGTATTCGTTTTTCGATATATCAGCATTTTTGTTGTTTTTAAGTATTCTATGTTGAATGTATATCTACAGATATATATTTATACATTCGTATATTTCCTGCACTAATTGGACACTTTTTTTTAGAGTTTTTTTAAACAGAATATAGATATATATATATATATATATATATATGTATGTATGTATGTATGTATGTGTGTGTGTATGTGTATAAAAATGTGTATAGGCCTATATATTTATGTGTATGTATATATATGTATATAACTCAATGAAAAAGACAATGATATGTCAACGACTTGGTAGACTTTGAACACAAATTTTATTCAAAACATGAATATTTCAACCCTGTCCTCGGGTCTTCTTCAGTATATGTGACAAACAAAATATAAGTTGGCTATTACAATAATTATGATAAAAAGTATAGTATAATATGATTGGTCGACGTTTTAATAGAATACAATGAACATGGTGATAAGACAAAAAAACTAAGGTGCGGAGTAAGAATAGAAATAATTAACAGTTCAATTAATTGTGAACTGTAATTATAATGAGGCTAATATCGGTAGGGGAACACAGATCTAATTCGGCAATAACAATAATGAAAATAAACAATGACATAGAATAAAGAAGCCGCTTAGATTAAACCCCCTTCAACATGATAAATAGCAAATAAGCAAAAATATTTTAACAAACAGGCAAGTTCTATAACAAAGAGCCAGAAAGGCAGAAATAGAAACCATTATTTGATATAGAGAAATACATATATATAATTATTATATATATATATATATATATATATATATATATATGATGACTGAATAAAAAGGCATATACAAAACAATAATAGGCAATCAAAAAAATACAGATTTGATAGAAATAATAATAATAATAATAATAATAATAATAATAATGATAGTCATATGAATTACTAAAAAGGATTAAGAATAAGGGAAATTATAGTCAGTGATCATACCAAGTCCGAATATGTGGGTTTTGTGTATGATTATGTGTCTGAGTTCTGATATGCGCCTTTTATTAAGGGATGGGAAATTACTGGCAATGAGAGTACAGCGCAATTTATTTATAGAATGGCCGGGGGATTTGAAGTCGTCGGCTACAGGGAAACCCTTACTGTGATTGCGGATGGATTGTTTGTGGTTGTTGATATATATATATATATATATATATATATATATATATGTATATGTGTATATGTGTATATGTATATGTATATATGTATATATGTATATGTATATATGTATATATAAGCCTATATATATGTATATATATATATAAATGTATATAAGACTATATATATATATGTATATATGTATATATATATATATATATCAAGTGCCTGCATTAAGCTTAGTAATAGTAACCCATACTCTAATGGTAACACACCCTAAAAAATCAAAGAGAATTAACCCAGGGTTACAAGTTTTACAGGCATATGATATCTGAGAAACCAAACATTTGGTCCCATGTCCCATTTATATCCGGAATATGCTTATATTAAACTTCATAGTTGTTAAGTTTATCATGTTGGCTGCCAACTATTTTGTGCCTTTAAGCTAATTGATTTTTTTTCACTTAGAAAGTGGGTTGCCAAGACAATTTTATCAAGGATTCCAAAAGAGGATTGGGATGTACGGATCAAGGCAGCCGCAATGAACGCGCTGAGAGGCAAACGATCAGATTGGAGCTACAGACGAAAGTGACAAAGGGAACTAGGCCTTAGCTTCAATAAGATCATCAGTCTATTTTTTTTTCGTATTTCTGTGGTTGTTTGATTATTTATTTGTAGCTTAGGTGATCTCTTTCTGACAGTTTAGATAAGGTTGTGAATTTTTGGTTCCTACTGTATGTGTAGCAGCATAGCATTATATTGGATTTGTATAGTATGTGTGTAACACTGAATTCAAACAACCAAACTTAAACTCATTCTGATGACTTAAGGATTTTTAGAATTAATAAATTTGTTTGTTTATCTTGTAATTGTAACATAAATAATCATGTACTAAATTTAACTTTGTAATTTCATGTGTTCCAGCTAACAGACAACAATCAAACAGCTCCATTTGTAGCAGCAAGCAGCAACTTAAACAATAAAAGCAAGTTCGACAAAGTGCGTTTCTCTTCCACTGTTATAATTAAGGTATGTTTTAATTAGAAGTATTTGCACCTTCACACTGCCAAGTAACAACAATTTTTTTAAATTTAATTCAATTGTTTATATCAATCATATTATTCATTCATTTGTTCATTCACTCGTTCATTCATACATTCATTCATCCATTAACTCATTTATTTATTACTTTATTAAAACATGTTTTATGAGAAATAATGTAACGTCAATACCCACTTAAATGGCTTTTCTGTGTGCAAAGATATGGATTAGAATATTTTTGTAAGTAGTCTTTTCACTTGCTGCATTTCATCTACGAATATTTGCTCTTCAACATGAAATGAAGATGGCCCACATTGTTAAGAGAAAACTCAAAAACCTTGCTGTTCAGGGACATTTAAACCTTTTAATTAACCTATTTATGACTGATCATAATTTAGATATATTTTATTTTAATTCTCGTAAAAATGGATAGCACCCCTTGTCTTAAAAGTCAGAAACCCCCAATATATAATGTTTCATAGCCATGATCCTACTTTTTGTTTTGTATTAGCCTTGCATTTGGCTCCGTTTTTAGTCAGCTAGCATCAGGACCATAAAAAGCAGAAAAAAGTAAAAATTCCGACCATGAACAGGGTGTCGTCTTATACGCCCGACATACAAAATTCGCCCAAAAATCTTCTGGAACTCGGGCGATGTCTTATACGCGAGTATATTCCTTATAGGCCTATATATACGGTATACATATATATTATATATATAATATATATAGGCCTATGTGTGTGTGTGTATGTATGTGTGTATATAAGTACAACGTTTTACTAACAACTTACAGAATGTATTAAATCAATTAAACAATCAATCTATTTTCTGAATTTGCATTCCTATCATTAATGTCATAACATTTTGGAAAAGTATTGATTTTTATACTTAAATAGGACTACTTAACCGAAATATATTTTGAATGTATTTCTCACTTGTTCAGTCTCTTTTATTTCAGAATCTGAGGTCTACCGATCCACGAAGAAGTGCGAGATCGATGTACACTCATTATCACTGGAACACAATGTATAATATTAAGTTGCCGGAACACAATATACTATCAATATCCGGATTTATGTGGTCTTCTGCAAATAATCGCGGGCAGATATATAGTAGGTTTTTATACCACTGGATCATCGAATGTTTAAATTTGCAAATATGTGTTCTTGTACAACCAACAAGTAATACTCGAACGATATTACATAGGCCTACTTTAATGTAATAAGGCCTAAGCATTATATATATATTATATATATATTTATATATATATAATAATTAAATTTATATATATATTTATATTTATATATAACTACAATCTTTGTGTTTGATTTATATTACCTTATATAGTTCTGATGTAACATTTACCAGTAAGAAATGTTAATAAAAATTAACCGATGTGTAGTTTTGTCGTAATTGCGTTAATAATGTATATTTCATGTTATTAATCAGTATGTAATCAAATTAAATATTATAATTAATTCGAATCGCATAAACCACTATTATAGCCTACTACTATATCTTATAAACACTAATATTTCCAGATATCTGCATTATACAAACAAATCAGGAAAATTTTCAGAGCAAGGTACATCGAATTTTACAAAACAGGAAATGACGTCAGTTGCTAGGCAACAGCTCATGCATATTCAGTAACACCTGTGCTCATTAGACTAACAATAAAAACTTTTAGCTCAGATTTGACAAAATCGACCAAAAAGATTTTATTGTTAGTCTAATTAGAACAGGTGTTACTGAATATTCATGATTATGCATGAGCTTGTTGCTTAGCAACCACGTCATTTCCGGTTTTATGTCTTTTGTTGGGGATTTCCAAATATTCACGATACAAACAAATTTGGAAAATTTTCAGAGCAAGGTGCATCGAATTTTAAAAACAGGAAATGACGTCAGTTGCTAAGCAACAGCTCATGCATATTCAGTAACACCTGTGCTCATTAGACTAACAATAAAAACTTTTTGGTCGATTTTGACAAAATCGACCAAAAAGATTTTATTGTTAGTCTAATTAGAACAGGTGTTACTGAATATTCATGATTATGCATGAGCTTGTTGCTTAGCAACCACGTCAGTTCCGGTTTTATGGTTTTTGTTAAGGTCGTCCTCTAGAGCATTTCATCAGGATTTCATTGCTAGTTTAATAGGCAACGTGGCAAATAACTATTGATGAAGCAAATTTTACAAATTATTCTTCATTTTTGCTTTACGCCTATAAGTTAGGTATTGAAATTATTGAAGTAAACACAGTCATTGAATAAGAGAATGAGAAGAAATTCATAATTCCATTTTATATTTATTTTTAACCATTGAAAA